GAGCACAAACAGCACAGCTAAGCTCACTACTTTTTAAATAATTAAATGCTACTTAAACCTTTCTTTTATGTGAAGACAAACCTGCCTCTGTTTGTTCTCCTACCACTGGCCTAGTTAGGTAGAACAGCTAAAGCCCTATACTGAGATTTAGAATATTTGTTAAAAATCTGTATCCTTTTTTTAAAGCCTATTTAACACAACACACAACTAAACCAGAAGCACACACAGAGAGCACAGTCCTCCCCTATGTCTAAGAAAGTCCAAACAAAACCTGCTAAAAGGCAGAACAGAAAAGGCAACAGTCCCTCCCAAGCAGAACCCTAACTTCTCCCAAAAAACCAGGAGGCCTGGCCAAGAAAGACACAGACAGACCTTAAAACAAGCAGAACCCCCCCTTTAAAAAAAACCCAAGAAAGAAGACCAACAAGCCAAAAAAACCCACAGACCTTAAAAACCTTGAGAAGAACCTGACACACCTACAAAGAAAGACCTAGGCCCCAAGCAGAACCTCCCCCCCAAAAAAACAAGAAAGGCCAAGCCAACCCCCCCACACCATGCCTTCTCCAGTGATGTCTTTTGATAACATGCTGTGTCTTGTTTCCTAGGCCCCAAGCAGAACCCCCCACAAAAAAACCCAAGAAAGACCAAGCGAAAAAAACCCCCACAGACAGACCTTAAAAAAACCTTAATTGCGAAAAGGAGAGCCAACAAGAAGAACCAAAGGCACACCAAGAAAGAAAGACCTAGGCCTCAAGCAGAACCCCCTCCCCCCAAAAAACTCCAGAAGCCCTGGACACAAAACTTAACCAAAATAAACTGTGAAAAGACAAGGAAGCAACAGAGAAGAACCACAACAAAACTAAGTCAACCAAAAACAAAATAGGCCTTACCACCACCACCCCCAGGAGAAGCTGCAGGCCAAATAGAAATAATAAATAGTCACAATGCAAAAACAAAATGGAGGAAGAAGAAACTAGAAGTCAGAGAAACCCCCCCAAACAACAAGGCAAGCCTAAACAAAATGAAGCACACAGTCAAAAACAGTTTTAAATTGCAATAAAAGGAACACTAGACGAGGAACCCTCCCTCCCCAAATAAAACCCAGAAAGAGGACTGAGTCCCTAGGGCCTAGGCCTACCCACACCAACCCCAGGCCCAAACCACTAAAACAAAGATGATTTTTTAATATTTTTCAAACCAGGCCAGGAAAAGGGGTTCAGGAGCAGCAGCACTGCATCAGGGGCAGCAGAAATTGCCAACCGGTCCAAGGCTTGCCAATCCCTCTCTCTTGTCACCAGCAGTCAGCAGCAGGCCAGGAACAGCAATGGAGTCAGCCAGGGAGACTGGCTCCTTTTATGCTCTCTGGCCATAAGATTTGAAAAAGGAACACCTTCTGTAATTGGCCAGAGAGCAGATGCCAAAACCCTGTTGGCCACTAGTGCTCCTTCCCTGGGGAAAGAGCAAGCTAATGGCAACAACAGCCCTACAAAAAAGTTCCAAAGTTTTGCAAACTGCAATGCATTTGCAAATGCATTGCAGTGATTGGCTGTCTAGTTCACTCTCCCCCCCCTCCTGAAAACAGGAGCAAAAGGTGGGAAAGAGGGGGAAACGGGGTTTTCCTGCCGCTCTTTAAAGTTTAAAGCCGCCAAATGCCATTTTTTGGCAATGCCGAAAAAGCTGGGAAAAAAACCCAATTTTTTTTGGTGGGTTTTAAAAAAAAAATCTGAAAAGGCTTGAAACGGCCATTTCGGGATCCCGAAAGCCGGAAAAAACCCCAAAAAGTTTTTGGGGGGATTTCTTTCGGTTTGGGATTCCGAAATGCACACCCCTAGTCGCTCCCCGGCGTCTACGCTACCGACATGCAGGAGCGTGCATCGGCGGGTTTTTAATTTTTTTTTCTCAGTTTGCACATGCGCATGGGGGGCTGTAGAATGGAGGGGGGGAACTACCATGGCGCATGCACAGAACCACCAGGGCGAATCAATCCAACCCCTCCAA